GTCCTCTGTCTACAGGCTGGCAGAGTACCACAATGGCTGGGACTGGAGTCCCACATACCAGGGTTCAAATGTCAGCTCTATCACAGACCAGCTGTGTGACCTGAGAAGGTGAATTCTCCTTTCTGACACCTCTCAGTGTCCCCTTCTGCAAAATGGGAATGATACTTACTCTGCTGTTCAATTTATTATTATTATCACCACCACCACTATCATCATCATCCCCACCTCCTCTAGAAAGGCAAAGGGAGTTTAGAATTTGGTCACCTGCCACCCATACCTGAGGGGGAAAGAGGAAATCATTGTTCTGTCCCTGTTTTTAGGAATTCCAGAAAGTTTTGTGTCTTAATTTTTTTTAATATATCTTTATTGATTTCAGAGAGAGGAAGAGGGAGAGAGATAGAAATATCAATGATTAGAGAGTTGTTATTGATCGGCTGCCTCCCATACGCCCCGTGTTGGGGATTGAGCCCACAACCCAGGCATGTGCCCCAACTAGGAATCAAACCTCCATCTCCTGGATCAACTACTGAGCCACTCCCAGCGGAGCCTGTCTTGAATTTTTAAGCATCTCTTTCTCAGGAGTGGCAACCTGACTGATGCACCAGTCCAAAAGTGTGTGTGTGTGTGTGTGTGTGTGTGTGTGTGTGTCTTGCTCATGTACAGACAAGGGCCTGTTCCCATCTGGTAACTATGAGGGCCCAGCAATAGGTAGGTACACAGCAGACCCTCCGACCACATACTCAGCTTGGAAATTTCCCACAAGAAGACACTGAGCACCCCACAGGTCTTAAAGGATTCAGGCAGGTGCCTTCTCCCTTTGCCCTGCCCTTTGCTCTTTCACCTTTAGCCTGTTTTAAAATGTACCTGGCATTTGTTTTAATCAGGTATGGTAAGGTGACCGACACAGAGACAACTGCCTTTAAAAGAAGAGTTTATTACTCATAGTTCCCAAGAGGCAGGGCACACCAGGCCATGCAAGGCCATATGGGGAAGCATCAGGGTAGGTCAGGAGGTAAAGGGAAAAAGCAGGGGCCAGAGCCTGCTTTTCAGGGGCTATAGGAGTGGTCCCTAGGTGTCCTGTCACAATTTTGGACAGGAGAAATATTGGCTTGATATGTGAGAGTTAGATAAGAAAGGGGGGGTGGCTGTGGATTGGCTGGTTTGCCTTGGCAGGCAGGTTGTTTACTCTGTAGGAATTAGCTAAATCCTGGGAAGGAAGTGTCTCCAGGATTAGCAAGGCCTCAGGATGTCCAAGCATCAAAAATACAGAAAAAAATTTTAAAGTCTTACTAGTACATAGCCCCCCGTTGTGTTTATGCCAAAGAAATCCAAAGGCCATGGGTCAAGACTCTGGGTTCCAGATCACTGTGAGGGACAGAGACCTGTGCTTGGGAGGGAGGCTCCGGCAAGACACTGCCCCACTCCAACTCAGTTTCTCCATCCATGACATGAGTCAGTGGCCATCACTCAAGTCTTCCATCTCTCTAACCAATTGCTTCTTAGGAATGTTCTGGATGTTTCCATCACCTTTTTCTTCCCAGAAGAAACCAGGAAATGTTCTGTATGATCCACAGGGAGGCAAGACCCTCACTAATCTGCTGATCAAAACTGTTTGTGTCCCTACTTCCTTTTTTTAAAAATGTTTTTATTGCCCGGCCAGGCGTGGCTCAGCGGTTGAGCGTCAACCTGGGATCCAGGCGATCGGGGTTCGATTCCCGGTCAGGGTACATGCCCGGGTTACGGGCTTGATCAATGACTCTCTCATCATTGATGTTTCTACCTCTCTCTCCCTCTCCTTTCCTCTCTCTCAAATCAATGAAGATATATTTTAAAAATGTTTTTATTGATTTCTTTTTCTTTAGAGAGATGGGGAGAGGGATAGAGAGATAGAAACATCAATGAGAGAGAAATCTTATGGATCAGTTGCCTCCTGTATGCCCCCTACTGGAGAAAGAGCCCACAACCCAGGCATGTGCCTTGACTGGGAATCTAACCATGACCTCTTACTTCCTAGGTCAACACTCAACCACTTAGCCACACCAGCCAGGCTGTGCACCTACTTCTTTTTTTTTTTTTTAATATATCTTTATTGATTTCAGAGAGAGGAAAGGAGAGGGAGAGAGAGAGATAGAAACATCAATAATGAGAGAGTCATTGATTGAGCCTGCAACCTGGGCATGTGCCCTGACCGGGAATCGAACCCCGATCGCCTGGATCCTAGGTCGACGCTCAACTGCTGTGTACCTACTTCGTAATGGGTACACACCTGCTTCCCAAAAGGCTATAGGAAAACCTAAAACCACAAATATCTAAGCAGAATCCAGCAAGCATAGGATGGAAAGTGAAAGCAAGGGAGACAGCCTCCCACTAGCTGGCTGTCAGTGGGTCACAGAAATGTAGTTGTCGAGCTGAAGGAAGCATGGGTATTCAGCAAAACTTCCTCCCCTGGACCCAAATTCTGAGAGGAGTTTGTCAACTGAGAATTGAACCCTGGGGCTGGAGGCAAAGCAGTGAAAGGTGGGGCTGTCTGATAGCAGCTTCCCCCAAGATGCAGAAGCCTTTGCCCTGTGGGAAGTGGGCAGGCCCAAGCATGGGGTAGAAACAGATTCCCAGGGAGGACATAGGGCAGACCATCCACCCCACACAGTGTGTATCCACTAAAGTGCTCACTTTANATGAAGGTACAACTCTAAATTATCAAAACGGAAAGCTGCTCTGCTGACAAACTGTTTGTTTGCAGGCACTGTAATATGGTTAAAACTGAAAGGAAATGGTTCTTTCAAAAAAAAAAAAAAAAAAAAAAAATACATACATATACACACACACACACACACACACACACATATATATATTGGACCATTCTGAATGGGAATTGGCCCTGTTTTCTGAGATCACTGACTCAGAATGTAAGCTGCTGGCTCTCTCTTGCCTGGAGGTGGCCTGGTCCCTTGGGGGATAGACCTCTGTATAGAAGTGGAAGGCAGGATCTGATATGCTCTCCCCTCTCCCCACACAGAGGCTTCGAACAGAAAACCGGCTCCTCAAACAGCGGATTGAGACCCTGGAGAAGGTGAGGGGTGTGGCCGCCAGCCTGTGGCATTGAACCCTCCAGGCCCCAAGCAGGACCCAAGAACCAAAGGGCCTGCCAACCCCCTGCCCCAGGCCCCACCCACAACCCTGCTGATAATTGAGCTGCCATATAATTGGACCGTGGGGAAAGAGCTTGGGGCTGGAAGTTGAGTTATAACCCAGTTAACTGCAACCCATTTGTGTCCAGTGCCCTCCAGGGCTGTCTGGGTGGGAGGAGGAGGTAAAACTGCTACTTTGACTGAGGTGCCTGGAACTGGGCCACAAGTCGCCCCACCCTGTAATTTGGAAGCCTTGCCCTGAAAAGGAAGGAAATAGGAGTGGAGGAGTAGGGGGTGGTCTTGCCACTGGCACCACAGTGAGGTGCCACAACCTTGACCCTGATCCCAATCTTGTTTTTAAAAATGGAAGTAGAGGTGGAGGCCCCCACTTCCTACCCACTCTCATTTTCACTTGACCCTCCACTAACCACAGGTTGTCTACAGGATTTTATTGCTCTTGCCCCAAAGCCTCCATTCTTGTTCAGGCTCCAAATGAAACTTGCTGAGTTTTCCCAGTTGGCCCCAGCCTGGCCAACTCTATAAGGGGCAGCCGTGGTCCCCCCTGCCTTTCTGTTCAGCTCACACACAGACCCCTCTCCTGGAAGGAACTGGCTCTGGCTTTGGTCTTCCTCCAGGTCCTCTCCTGCTGGTTTTCTGGTTCTCGGGTTTCACTCCTGTCTCCCCTGCTTCTAGAGATAGTCCACTGCGTTAGTGACAAGTGGTTCTTGTCTGTCTCTCCCCCTCTCCTGTCCTGCGCCTTCCGCTCTGCCTCCTCCCCCTGTTGCTGGGACCCCCCTCGCCGGGTAGGAGAGTGCTGCTCTGGCTGATAGGTTAATCCAGGTACTGTAGCTTTTCGTCTCACTCTCCTATTTCCTTCCTATTCTCTACACATGACAGCCAATAACTGCCTCTTCCCTGGTCGCTGCCATCCCAGGGGCAAGGGGGGCAGGCCTGGCACCATGCATGAGGGGGTGCTTTTCAGAGAGACAGAGGTGTCCAGCTAGAGGAGGGGGCTGTGCATGTGCAAATGTGGCATCTGAGGGTGTGTCTATGAGTGTACGTAAATGCATAGGGACACAAAGTTTTCTCCCTCCAGGGGACACAGGTGAGGACCCAGAGAGGCTCAGGGACCCTGAGGGTGCATCAACAGCAGGCCTTAGTGTGTGCACCTGCTGAGCCTCC